CCCTCCTCCTTGTCCTATATAGTTTGATCACCTCCGGGTTGCTACTCCACCCCACGACAGCTGGGCTATTCCCTGTCCTTGTCTTCGCCCTTTTTGCTTCTCCTCTTCTCCCCTCCCCTTTTGTCAGCCTCAGCTCTCCGAGAGCTTCCTTGTCTCATTCATAACCCCACTGGTATCTGGGGTCAGGATACCCAGCCGGCGTGACGTCCTGTTCGACTAATAATACGGTCTTCCCGGCCTTCTCGTCTCCTAGAGCTTGCTGTCTGCTTGCTCCCTCCTCGCCGGCGTCCCTCCCTCTGTCGAGCTCAGTAATGCCCGAAGCGTATCTCACAGTCACTCATTAATATTATCCGTGATTTACGCCACCGGTACAGCAAACCTCGACGAGACCAGATCCCTAATATTCAACCATGGCGAGGTGGAACCGATTGGTCGTTTGTTTCTTTCTCTTTCTTTGTCTTCAACTTGCTGTTGGTCATGTCGTGCCTGTAAGAAGACAGGACAGCTCAGCAACGGCCGTCACCTCTACTACACGGACCGGAACTCGAGATGCCGCGGCCACAGCCTCATCAACGTCGCCCGCCAGGTCAACCGCAGCCTCCGTCACAGGATCTATCATCGCGTCGAGCACTTCATCCATTTCTTCTGCACTGCCGACCGCCACTGATGGAGTCACCTTCGACAACTCGACACTCTTGAACTGTAAGTGCATGGCCAACAACATATCTCCATCGCCCAACACATGTCGCTGACGCTTTACCAGCTACCATCCCGGAGGGCCAGCTTCCCCTTGAGCCAAAGGTGACCCCCGGATGGGCCGTTGCTGGCGTGATCCTATTGTGTGTCGGCGTTGGCTACACCCTCGTCGGTCTCAGGCAACCCATGATGCACAACACCCTTTCCGTCGCATATGCTGTTGGACTGGGTATCACAGTCCTGGTTGTGTATCTCGCCCCACTGCCTGTCAGCAATGGCGCCCAAGGAGGCTTTGTCGTCGCTGCGGTGCTCCCAGGCATCTTGGTTGGTGTCTTCGCTTCCTTGTGGTTCAATGAGATTACAGAGTGTTTTGCTTGCGGGCTCGGCGGCTTCTGCTTCAGCATGTGGCTGTTGTGTCTGCAAGAAGGCGGTTTGCTTTCTGGTGTGGCCAAGGTTGTCTTCATTGTCGTGTTCACATTGGCAGTCTTCGCAGCATACTTCACCCGATGGACCCGCGACTGGGCATTGATCGTCAGCATCTCCTTCACCGGCGCCACATCGACTGTCATAGGTATCGACTGTTTCAGCCGAGCCGGGCTGAAGGAATTCTGGGCCTATATCTGGCACTTGAATGACAACCTCTTCCCGGTCGGCGCAACTACCTATCCTTTGACCAAGGGCATTCGCGTCGAGCTTGCCGCCATTATCGTCATTTTCTGCGTCGGCATCATCTCCCAAAAGAGGTTGTGGAACGTCATCAAGGACCGCCGCACCAAGAGGCAAGAGGAATTGGCCGAGGAACAACGAGCTCGCGACGAGGAGGAACTGAACATTGGAAAGCAAATCGAGGCTGAGAATGCCCGTGAACGACGCGCATGGGAGAGAGTGCATGGTGACCACGATTCAGGCTTCGCTCGCGACAGCGAAAGTGAGAAGGAGCCTCGCTACAGCCAGAGCGCTTCGGTTCCTGGACCTGAGCCTCTGATGGTGGCCGAAATGCAGGGGTGTGACGCTGCCCCTCCTGTCCCTCCGAAGCCGACACCCCAGGGTCTTATGTCCTTGGGCAAAGAAGACAGCATGGTGACAGTACGAGTCGCTCCTGACGAGGCCTACAATGCCCCTACTACCCCGAGACGGCTGATCGACGAGAAGGAAGCCATGGTACACACCACGGAGATCAATGACGAAAGCACCCGCGAAGCCGACGTTCCTCCTGTTCCGGAAGTCGTGCCTCTGCCTTTCAGATTCCCTGTTCCTGACGAGAACGCGCGTGGAAGAAGGGCGTCAACCGTAGCAACGTTTGCCGATGACGATGAAGACCAGGCGGGTGTTGTCAGCAAGCGAAGCTCACTCACGAAGCGTCTTTCCAAAGGATCGGTCAGCCTGATGCGGAAGGTTTCCCAACGCACGACGGGGTCACGCCCTGAGACTGGCCCTGACGAGGATGAAGTCGCCGTTCTCAAGCACCATCGCAAGGAGACGGACAGCTCCATCGCAGCAACGATCGACTCAGAGAATGACAGCGGCGCCAGCACTCTCCAAGAATCGCGCCCCCAGACCGCTGATGTCAACCAGAAGCTTAGCCAGGACTCAACCGAGAAGGCCCCAGCTACCCTCGCCGATTCGACCGATGATGAGAAGGACAAGGGCGACACGAATGCCGATACTGCCGACAACGCGGTCGACAACATCGAGGAGAAGCCTACCGTTGAGACCCCTGCCGCAGACAACACTGTCGAAAAGTCCGAGGGTGAGCCGACCAAGCAAGCTGACAGCGGCGACTCGATCACGGAAGGCAACCCGATGAAGCAGGCCGTTGAACCTGCTACCCCGTCGCAAAAAGCCAAATCGACTGCCTCCGTACACTCGACACCGGTCAGCTTGACCCCGGATCGCCTGCCACCTGCACTTTCCAACGTGGCTCTGCACTACCGGACGAACGAGTGGGCGAAACACCTGAGCCATGCCGAAGCACCTGCCCCCGAGACGTTGCCGGTGGTTGAGTACACTCGGGATGCGCCGCAACGCGAAGAGACACCGGCGCCTCTGAACGTGGAGGAACTGCAGCAAACAGCTTTGACTGCCACGCCCGCTCCAGTTCCCACCCCTTCACCGGCACCTCTTCCTGGCCAGGCACACCCGAGGCCCACGTCTACCTTCACTGCACCTCGTACTCACTCGAGAAACAACTCCTGGGGATCGGGAATTGACAACCCAAACACGCCCCCTCCGCCCATGATTCGCAAACACCACCGCAGGGTTTCGAGCAAGAACCAGGTGCCAACAGTGCAGACTATCGCGGAGGAAAGCCACCTTCCCTCCAGGTCTCCCAGTTTCAGCGGCTCTGAGCGCATGCCGATGGCAGCCTCTCCAATCTCACCCAGCGGCTTCGTGCCGCCCCCGCCCCCGCCAGGCATCGTGTCCTATTCGAGCCCGCAGAGCCTTCTCGCCCAGCGAAGCATGGCCATCCGAAACAAGACTTATGGGATCTTGACCGGGGCCAACTCAACGCCGGACTTTTCCGCTGCGGCGCAACGCCCGCCTAGTGAGGTCTACTCTGCTTACGACTACCCCGGGTATCCGCAACAGATGGCAGAATCGTCCCTTGACGATCTGCCTTTGAGCCAGCGCAAGGAAATGATCCGCCGCCAGAGCAGCATGGGAACCATTCGAACATCCATGTCAGACAACAGGAGATCATTGAGCAACCCGTACCTGCCGACGACGTCCACTGAACAGCTTCAATTTGACTCGCACCAGCCCAGCAGGGTGTCCAACGCGCCGTCCAGGGAGGCTCGCGAGGCCAGGCTGGCGTCTTTCCGCGACTCGGTGCAGGCCGACCTACGCAACGCATCGGCAGTGGCAAAAGTGGGCGCACACGGGCGTGATACGTCCATGATGTTCCGCGCCTCAAGCTCTGCGAACCTGGCCGCTCAAGCTGCTGCTCGGGAGGCAGACATGCAGAGAAACATTGACCTGCAGCGCAGCTTCCTGATGAGCCAAAAGGAGGCAGAGGCCAAGCGTCGCGAGAAGGAGAGGATCGAGAAGGAGCGGTCTGAGCAGGCCTTCACGAGAAGCATGCAAACTGGCGAGATGTTTGACTTGCACAGGGAGGCGATGAAGAGAATGCAGCAAGGTTCCAGGAACGCTTGAGACGATTTGGTTAACGCAGCAACTGAGTCGTGATTTACTTTTATTTCTTTTCTTTTTTCTCTTCAGCATTGGTAGATACCCAGGATCAAAGGCAAATCTGGGGCGCGTTGGAAACAGGACGTCGAAACTCTGATGCAGCGACGGGCTATATGATACAGTGAGCGGTTGGGGACGAACGACGAGACAATGACGAGCGAAATAGGTTGGAGATTCACGGAAAATGATTGTGGTAGTAATGCCTTGAGAGGATGAGACCCTGAAAAGGGCGTCAACATGCCCGCATTAAGTCATAAAGATAATGATAAATTTAGCTGAAATATTAGATATTAGAATCTCACGTAAAGAGAATGGTGTTGCTTTACCATGAAACCCAAGAGTTGCTTTCCATATTCGGTCTGCTTTGGTGATGTTGGTCCGGTCAACTCTGTTGGACTTAGAGTCCTGGCCCTGTACGACCGTTTCAGTTCGGCAGAGCGGACAAACGATTCAGCAGCCATGAGCGTTGCCGAAGAACCGTTACGTCGAGGCAGTTCGGTCCCCACGTGTTACGCCGACCGCGAGGCCCCATACTCGGCCAAGCCGGCACGGCACCGAGGCGGACGATCCCGAAAGCATGTGGAATCCAACACACATTTTGGCACGGCGGCATGAGCAAATCATTCGGATGAGGCTCCATCCCTGTTGGCTGACGCTCTTCTCAAACAACCAACCACCTTCTTTTCGCTGAAAAAAGTTCCCCCACCACACCGCCCGTCGACCTTCCATCTTCGCTTCGGACGACCCCGATGTCGGGATTCTGGCCGGCCGGCAATAACCCGGGCCGCAGAGCCTGGGCGTTGGCGTCATCCATTCTCACAGCGGACGAAGACATGTCCGGCGGGTCACGGGGGTGGTAGATTTTGTCGTTTGCGGTGAATGTGCCAATTGCACAATCTGTTTTTGATGATTGTCTTTGTTGTTGCTGCTGCTGCTGCGTTGAAACGTCGTTGAAAAAGTGCAACCCTCCCGCCGACCGCGATCGCTTTCAATTCGGGGGGCTGCATGTCTCGCGTCGACTCCACATCGCCGTGTTTTTCCAACGCCCCGTCCCCGGCGTATCATGTCTTTTTCGGCCGCTCCTAATTATATCCGGATAGTATTCTAGTACCGCCATGGCCGGCTCCGCCCAAGACGAGAAGGCACCTGAGCCCCCGTCGACCGTGGGGGGTCGCGTCTGGGCCAGGGCCGTCAAGATTTTCAAGCTCATCCTCGCGCAGTGGCTGGTGATTGGGTTCGGGCTTAGCTGTGTGTTTGCATACTTCTTCCCCAGTAAGTTGGCTGGCCCCGTTGCTTTCAAAGTAAGAGTAAAGCAAAGCTGACGGACGCTCCAAAAAGACGTCGCGGCCCGCGGTGGACCCATCAGATCGGAATACTCCATCATCTACGGCGGCATCGCCATCATCTTCCTCGTCAGCGGCCTCCAGCTCTCCCACGCGAAGCTCAGACAGAATGTTACCAACTGGCGGCTGCACATCATCGTTCAAGGCATCAGTTTCATCATCATTCCCGTAATCCTGCTAAGTAAGGCAACCCTCCTTTCATTCAATGCTACCCTTCAGCTTACACTGTGTCAAAAGTCATAATCCACATCATAATCGCCGCAGGCGGCCTCCGCAATGGCGTCCTCTCCACGCCCATCATCGTCGGCATGGTTGTCGCCTCATGTCTCCCGACGACCATCGCGTCCAACGTGGTCATGACGCGCGCCTCGGGCGGCGACGACGCGGCGGCCATCATCGAGGTCGTCATCGGCAACGTCCTGGGCTCCTTCATCTCCCCAGGCCTCATCTACGGCTTCATCCCCAAGACGGACGAGTTCAGGGACTGGCAGCCCGCGAACCCGAGCACGCTCGGCGCCATGTACGCCAACGTCCTCCAGCAGCTGGGGCTGAGCGTGCTGCTCCCCCTCGCCGTCGGCCAGGCGCTGCGCTGGTTCTTCGAGAAGCAGGTCGACTGGGCGCTGCGGACCTTCTACCTCGCCAAGGTGTCGACCTTCTGCCTGATCCTGCTCGTCTGGACCACCTTCTCCGCCGCCTTCAAGACGGGCGCGCTCTACCAGACCCCGCACGCCTCCATCATCTTCAACGTCTTCATGAACGTCGCGCTCTACATGCTCTTCACCCTCATCTGCTTCTACGCCGCCCGCCCGCCGCTGCCCCTGTGCGACGCCATCAACCCGCGCGTCGCCGACTCTGCGCTGATGACGCGCCGCTCGCCCTCGCTCCTCCGACGCGCCGTGACCGTCCGCCGGCTGCCTCGAGAGCAGACCATCGCCGTGTGCTTCTGCGGCGCCGCCAAGACGACGTCGCTCGGCATCCCGCTCGCCACCGCCATGTGGACCCAGTCCGACGACCTCACCCGCGCCCTGATCCAGATCCCCGTGCTGCTGTACACCATCGAGCAGGTCTTCATGGCGCAGATCCTCGTGTACGTGTTCAAGTGGTACCTCAGGAGGGGCGCCAAGGCGGACTCGGAGACGTTGACTACGGAGGACGAAGAGGCGGGCAGTCATTCTGGGGCGGGGGAAGTCAGGGAAGATGGAATCGGCGACGGAGACGGGTCTCATGGGGCTTTGGATCATGGCTGTGAAAAGAAGCCTGGCGGAGTAGAGGGCGGGAATAATGCGGTGCCTGTCAAGACGATATCTTAGAACGTTCTCGATTATGCATACGCACGGGTTTTGGGATGAAGTTGGAACCGAGACAGACACTCGGTTGGATAATTGCAACACAGTCAGACCAAGGATTCGAGCAGCTCCAAGCCATCGATCAGGACTTTACACCACTGCGGTAACTGTATAAGCGCATAATGTTGAACGTGCCATTCCCTCTCTGTGCTATTCACGCCGCCCACCGTGGTTTTATGCATAAAGAAAACCAGGGGTGAATCATTCGTCGTGACAGATTGAACCAGAAGAACACAATCTATGGGCCGGCAATTCTCTTGATGTGGCGTATCGGAACCTTTGTAGCGCAGCATCATCCCGTAGCCGCATATGCTCCATCATTCCAGACAAGCTGTACAGAGATGACATATAAGGTAACACTGGAATCGACTGACCAAGGTCATGTTTAACCGGCGTCTGCCTACCAGCCTAAATAACAAGATGCTTGAAGATTCTGATATTGTGAGAAAGCTCGGCGAGCAATTCACATCGGTGAAGTCACAGGAAGCAAGCCTTGCTCACATAACTCATGTTCCATTTGAGTATCTCCAATACAGACGCTACATCATGAGACAGAATAGGCTTCTTCATACATCAATCGTGAGCGGCACGAAGGCCCTCTTTACACTTCAAAAAGATTGCGATGCAACTCCAATCTACGTGATTGTCTTCGTCTCTGCTCTGTTGCTCTCATCTACGGGCTCATGCATGTCTCAGGCCTTCTTGATGAGGCTCTCAAAGAGAGGCTGGAGGCTCTTGGCGCTCTTCTTGGGGTATCTCTTCTGGTCGTTCTCGTAGTCGACATAGGTGACGCCGAAACGGGTCTCGTAGCCCTCGGCCCACTCAAAGTTGTCCATGAGGGACCAGGCCATGTAACCCTTGACGTTGACGCCGTCCTTCTCGTAGGCGTCGGCCATAGCCCTGACATAGTCGTCAAAGTACTTGACGCGGAAGTCGTCCTCGAGAATCTGCTCGAGAGGCATGTCGTTCTCGCCCTTCAGCGAGGTGCCGTTCTCGGTAACGTAGATGGGAGGGTATCCGTAGCGCTTGGAGAGCCAGGTGAGGAGGTTGCGGAAACCCTGCGGGTTCGGGCGCAGCCAGAAGGACTGGGTCTCCGGGCCAATGTTCTCGCCGCTCTTGGACTCGAACAGGGTCTCGAGGTTGCCAAGGAAGTCGTCGGCGGGAGGCTCGCCGGTCTTGTGCTTGATGAAATTGGCGGTGTAGTGGTTCATGCCATAGAAGTCGTTGGAGCCCTTGACCAGCTCGACCTCCTCAGGTGTAAACTCGGGCAGGCGGTCGCCGAGCTGCTTGCGCATGGAGTCGGGGTACTTGCCGAAGTAGATGGGGTCGGCGAACCAGGAGATGGCGAACTCGATCTTGCGGTCGGAAGCCTCAACGTCGGCCGGGTCCTCGGGGTCCCAGGGGTAGGTGGCGTCGCCATTGAGGGTGATGCCGATCTGGCCGCCTTGGGTAGGCTTGATCTCCTCGCGGTAGACCTTGACAGCACGGGCATGGGCGAGAATGCAGTTGTGGCCAACAATCCAGGGCTCGCGCGAGGAGTCTCCGACGGGAGACTTGTTGCGGTCCGAGGTGTGGCCGGGGGCGAAGAAGCCGCTGCTGTAGCCGAGGATGGAGGAGCACCAGGGCTCGTTGAAAGTGATCCAGTTCTTGCACTTGGGGATGGCCTTGAACATGACACGAGCGTAGTGCTCGTAGTCAAGGGGGAACTCTTCCTTGTTCAGAAGACCGCCATAGCGCTTGTCGAGTCCATCGGGGAGATCCCAGTGAAACAGGGTGATGAAGGGCGTGATGCCAGCATCGAGAAGGTCGTCGACAAACTTGACGTAGTGGTCGATACCGGCCTGGTTGATGGGGTCGTTGCGGCCACCAAGGGGAATGATTCTGGACCAGCCGATGGAGAAGCGGTAGGTGTTGGCACCAACAGACTTGAGCAGAGCAATGTCTTCGGCGGTGCGGTTGTAGGAATCGCAGGCAGTGACTCCGGAGCTACCGTCGGCAATCTTGCCGGGGATTTTGCAGAAGGTGTCCCAGATGGAGGGACCACGGCCGTCCTTCTCGACAGCACCCTCAACCTGGTATCTGTGATGGCGGGCAAAACGAGTTAGTAGGGGTTCGGCATGACATGTTGTTGGACTCGCTTATTAGACGACAAGGAGGGACGGAGGGGAAAGGTGTGAGTGGGGGGTGACGGAGCGAAATAAGTGTGCGGAATTGCAGGCGGGTAAGACGGAGGGAGGAGGGCGGAGGGTGGTGGTGCGTGGTTGGTGGGAGGATGCTTGCTAGTTGTCCGAATCGGGCCACGGGCCGGAGGCAGACGCAAAACTGCATTGTGACAGCAACTGAGGCACGATGATGGACCGACAAGAAAAGCGCAATGCAGCATATTGAGGTTGAGATACGTACGAAGCGGTGGCAAAACCCCAAAGGAAGTCGCTCGGCAAAGACATGTTGGGCTATGAGTCTGAGGCCAAAGTTGTTGGTGAAAGTCTCGAAAGCGTGTTGCAACCAGCGTCGACTCTCACGAGAGCCCTAGTTCGTAACGTCTGTGGTTTGTCCGCACAGCAGCTATCAGCCACTCTGCAACGGTGGGCAAGTTGGAACGACTAGACAGAGGGTCGAAGAGGATATGTTGACAAGGAGAGAAGAGAGAGCAAGGAGGGGGGACAAATGCAGACAGAGGACCAGCAGCTGCCACGATACTTATACGCATCAGAAGAACGGAAGGAGAGGTTGCGGTGGAATGAATTGGGAATCATCATTCGTCTGATGGGGATACCTGGCAGGTTAAGGTAAGGCGAGGTCATGTCGACACGGAGCTACAAGGATGGCAAAGATGGGACAAACACCCGCAGGAAAGGGTAGCAGAAACAGCAGACATGGGACAAGCCTACAAGGGCGTCTCGTGGAGCGCCCTCCATGCAGTCAGTAGTCAATCTGGGACCTGGGAAGCTCCAGAAATTCTACCGCGTCGGACCGTCGTCACCGAGAAACGAAGACTGGACCATGTCCGGAAGTGGTGCTGCTGCTGCTGCTGCTGCTGCTGGTGGGATGAGAAAGAGACGTACACGACAACTATGTACATGCTGAAGAAGACCTACTTCTTTCTACCTTAGTCTTCTGCTCTTCTCCAGCGCTAGTGCAAACGAGGCAGACAATTGACGCCAGAGGTCTTGGTGTTACAGGCACCTGCTTCTATTTGCCAACAGGCGACTGACATTGGGAAGGCTACCTTATTCCTCCGCAACAAAAAGAACCTTAACATGCCCGCCTCATGTTCCGTTCCATGTTTCCAGGTTGCGTCGGATGACCATGTGCGACCGGGTTGGCGGTGTCTCTCTGCGCAAACTCCAGGTATTTACCCGTACCCGTACCCGTACCTGGGTGCCTATCGGGCTCACCACGACACAGCGGAGTTTGCTGGCGGTGGCAACAGTTGACAAGGGGCTCCTGCAGAATGGAATACTAGGTGTCCTGCGGTACGAATATCCAGGCCAGGGGCAGTCCACTAGGTACCTAGGTAATTACCCCGCCGTGGGGTCCCTTTTCCCTCAGGTCAGTTGAGGGGAAGTCCCTTCCCCCCCGCTGAGAGAGCCTGCTGAGAACATCGACAATCCGGCCCGTCGAGCCGACGACCACCTCTCTCCTCGCCCAGCTTCGACTCGCAGCCGATTCGAAACACGACAAGCCTCGATCTCTCACCTGATAATCCCGCTTGCCGCCTCATTGGCGGCATGCGCGTGCGGGAACCTCGCCAAATCCTCGGGGCCACGAAGCCATCAGCAGCCGCTTATTACAGTGTGCCGTTTGATTGCCTCTTGATTGCCTCGCCCAAACCCCGGCCCAAGGCATATCTTGTTCAACCACCTGCTAATAGGGCAGAACCTGGGCAGACGGGGAACTCATCCGCCCATGATACCAGAGTCCAGGTAACCGCTGCCATCTTTTCACTTTCCACACCAAAGCGCATGCCGAGCCCCCCTTGGCTGGCCCATGTTGGTCGCATTCGGTGAGCGGGCAAGGGCGCAACGACGGGTGAGCCTCCCTTCCATCCACTGCCGGCTCGTTCGTCCAATGTCGCCTGTGCTTCTCCAACAACGGCTTTCGTCCCATCATCTCCGTCTTGTCCATGGCGGGTGCTAGTCGACCACATCCCCAGCTTCATAACAGACCTAAAATATAGATACGACCCGGAGGACACCTGGCATCTACATCTGCGCGTTTCTTTCTACCCATAACGCAATCGTCTGTTCGATCAACACATACTCCATGCGGACTGCAACACGAAACTCACGGCAGACGTCCCCTGCCTGTTCAATTCCGCCCCTCCAAAACCATAATCTCCAGTTTAAATCGTCTTAGTCCACGCAGCTATCAATACGCGAAAATCACATGGCCGTACAACCGATTCCTCTTCTTCGGTCGAGTAGCCCGCCCCGGCCGACTGGCGGGTCCCGCTCGTCGATCCAACGAGCCTTCGGCCCTACACTCAGGTACATGTGTGTTGCTGACTTACACCTTATCTTGTCGGGCGGGGGGAAACCTCGGGACGATTAAACATCTTGCTATTGTGCCTTAATGTGCTAAATCCATGGTACGCCGTCGCCTCCACGGCTGCTTTTCCCTCATGACTCCATGATCAAAGATTCCCAACCTCGTGCTTCCCTTCGATTCTGCTTTTCTCCCTTCTCATCGTACTTTTAGTCATTCGTTTTGTTCAGTCCGTCCCCGACAGATCCGAACCTATCGCCGCTGCACCACTAAGCCTATTACCGGCCTCTGGGTGAGCAGAAATCCCCATAATACCAACCTCAGTCCTCACCGAGGTGTACGGAACGCGGGACGAAGGTGAGCCGGCCCAGTCCACGACACCCCAGCTGCTGATACCACCTACCCTGCCGCTGCGATGCGATGCATGACATGGCATGGACTCAATGCAGGCCCTCCAAAGCCGCATCCGCGTCGTCTCGCTCGCCTAGTTTGCGCTTGCCGTTGCCAGTATTGCTCGTCATCTCAACGTCCTCCGTCTTCCCGTCGTCCGCATCGGTCCATTCCACAATCTCCCACTCGACCCTGACCTTCCCGTCCCTACTCTGATCCACCATCTGGCTGTGACGCAGATTGCCCAAGCGGGTCCCGTCGATCATGCTCTCAAACCAGGGGACGCCGCGGGTTTCCCTTCCAATTACCGTGGTCGTTGTCGGAACGACGGACTGTCTCTCCGTCTCCTCGAGTTCGGGGATCAAACCCAGGTCTTCCAAATCTCGCAAGTCTTCGCCGCACAGGCTGGCCAATGTGAGATGGATATAGTCAGCTTCGGTGTGAGGAAGCTCGGTCCAGTAGGACAGTGGCGTTCCGCAGAAGCCGCAGAAGTATCGCTTCGAGGGGTTGCTAGACGGCGTCTCGAATACACGGCGAATCGCAGAGTGCGCCTCGTCGGGGAACAAGGCATGCGTTGAGCTGTGATACCAGGAAATCGGCACTTTGATCATTGCGGCCAGCGGGGTGGCCAAAGGAACTCCTGCGCAAGCTGTGGTTAGCTTCGAAGCTTGCGATTGGTGGGCATCGCATCTCATGCGAGAAAAGCAAGCCTAGGAAAAGAATCCAGAAAGACGGCAGACGAAAAAAAAAGAAGGAGAAGATAGACTCACTGTGTCTGGCATCTGTGTGGAAGAGGACCTGCACCCTCTCACTCGTCTGTTGAGGAACAGGCTCGATGACGTACCGGTTGCGCCCGCACTGGCAACCGCCGCGCAAGGGTCGTTGCAAGCTCATTGCTGTTACTGTTGTCATTACAGCTCTGTCGAGAGTAGATTCGATAGCGTGTAAGCTGAAATTGGTTGGTGTATGGATTTTGAGGCTGCCAGAGAGCCGGGAGGCGGCTCAATTTCACTACTGCGCAGTAGGCGGATGGCTTGTTGGTGTGTTTGTTGATCTTTCCCACATGAGAAGGGGAGGTCAGATCAGGAGAAGCTTCCAGGTGAACCCAGCAATCGCTTTCCGTCCCACCTCGCAGGCACCCCCGGCCCCTCCAGGCGCGCCTCCCGTGCGTGCTCCCACGCCCTTGAAGGTGAAGCTGCGGATCTCCCGCCGTCCATTCAGGCGTCTGAGTGGCCTGTGTTCCTCGCTCAACGCCTCTCACCGCGCTGGAAGCCCCGCCTGATGGCCGCTGCGTGGGGCACTTTCGTCATGCTTTCCTACCTGCGCCCCAGGCAACTGAGCTTGGGTTGTTGTTTGTTTGTCATGCACCGTAAAAACTTCATGCCTTCCTATCTACATAGTAAAACAGCATCGGTTGCTTCAAGTGGGAACAGGGGTTCAGATTTGTTTCCAATCGCTAGCTAACGTTGGCAGGAAAAAGAGCGCCCTGCGCACCCATGTCTAAGTCGTCGAGGAGTTGCATTTCCTCCTCGTCAAGCTCAAAGGAAAAGACATTGGCGTTCTCCTCGATCCTTGCCGGGTCGCCGCTCTTCACCAGCGGCACGAAGCCCTTTTGGACAGACCACCGTAGAAGCACCTGTGCCTCAGTCACAGCTCTCCCTCCTATACCATCACCGTCAGCACCGGCAGCTCCGGGCCCTGCCCTTTCGGTCTCGGAGTCGGACGTGACTCCGGCCAAGACCCGCCGCCGCACTCGGGCAACGACCCGTGCCAGCGCCGGATCCGACATTCTCTGCCCTCTGGCCAACGGGCTATACGCCTGAACAAGGATCCCGTTCTTCTGGCAATACGTGACCAGTTCCCTTTGTTGGCACCAAGGATGGATCTATGCGATGCCTCATCAGCGACTCCGCAGCTAGATCGTGAGTCAAGTACTCACCTCAATCTGGTTCACAACAGGCGGCCAGACCTTGGCGTAGCCCTTCATCTCCTCCAGATGCCCAGCTCGAAAATTGCTGACCCCGATTGCCCTCGTCTTTCCTTCCTCCAGCAGCCTCTCCAGCGCAACCCAGACCTCCTGGCGCCTCTGAATGGGCCGATGCACGAGGAACAGATCGACGTACCCGTCTTCGCCCGCGATGCGTCTAACACTGCGTAATATGCTGCGGTACGTCTTCTCGACAGAGCCTTCGTGACGACCGACCTTGGTCGTTATGAACAAGCCTTCGCGTTGTGCTTTCGCTTGTTCGAGGTATTGCTGCAACGATCTCCCAACATCTGCTTCGTTGCCATAGAGCTGCGCAGAGTCGATTTGTCGATATCCACAATTTAACGCTGCCAGGCAGGCATCTGCACAGTCCTGGGCTCTAAGCTGGTATACACCAAAGCCTAATCTAGGCAGGTGAATGTTGGTTCCCCGCAAGCGTACCGTTTGATCCATAGTTCCTATGGCCGCACTTATTTTGATGATGTGAGTTGCGGTTTGCAGTTGCCTGAAAACGCCCGCCTATTTCATTCATGGCCATTGATGCCCCCAGCACAACACTCGGCTAAGTTAGGCAGCTGCAACCCACTTGCACGACCTGGTTGAAGAACTCGCCACCACCAGAGTGGAGGTAAAATAAATCACTATGGTGTAGAATTTTTGTGGCAGCTACCTCTGTCCGCACCATGTCATCAAGAGGTCGTTTCCAAATATTAAACCTCTTCAGGTCCCTTAAGGGCCGGTCAGCCTAATAGGTAATTGTAGTGTTACATTCCCTTTCATTCCCATGAACGCCTAGCAACAGCCCCAAGTCCCGAAAGCCTTCAACTTGCAGCAGACGCGCTCAACCAGTCTTCTTCTTCTTCTTGGGCCTCTCTTCTTGTTCCTCCTCCTCCTCCTCGGCGTCGTCAGCGTCATCGTCGTCAACGTCGCTCTCTGCGCTTCCAGAGCCCGAGCTCTCGTGTTCACTGTCGAACTCCTCGGCAACGTCACTCTCACTCTCAGCGCGGAAGTCCTCGTCAACGCTCTCTTCGTCTTCGTCAGCCGAGCCGCGGTCCGCTTTCGGTCCGACGACCTCCTCTTCAGAGTCGTCCATTGCCTGATCGCGGAGAGCAGTGGCCAGAAGCTTGGCGTCCTCGTCGATCTCGTTCTTGACACGCAGGCCCTTCAGTCTGAAAAATTCCTCGAGCCCCTTAAGATCCTCGCGGTTGATGTTGCTAAACTGAGATGAGCCAGCACCATTCTTCATCTGAACGGTGATATCGAACGTGGAGAGCGCCGAAACGGCGCCGCCGACTCGAGAGAATGTGACGGAAGCAGTCTGCTCGTACGCAATGTACGTCGCAGGCTTCGGCACGAACATAAACGCCTTCTCCAAGCAGTACAGGAAACCTTCGCTGGCCTTGATGGAGCACTTGATACCGAATTGTTGTCGGTGCCTGCATATATGTTAGCTCTCGGCATTTCAAGCGAGCGGGGGCTGTCTGCGACGTACGTCTGGAAGTCCTTCGCAGGTGTGGTGACCTTCTTGTTGGCCAATCCTCTGAAGATGTAGGTGATGACTTGGTGAAGAGGCTGCTCGTAGTGAGGCTGCAAACGGTCCTTGTAGCGCTCGTCTATTTGCTCCTCGGTGAGGTTGAGATCAATAGTGACCTCCTCATCCTTCTTGAACTGCATGACGATGAAGGGGTATCTCGTCTGACCCTGGCGAAGAGGCGGGTCCAGGCCAATGACCAGGAGAACGTGTGTCTCGTCGGGCTTGGGCAGAACCATGAACTTCTTGATGGCGTCGTATTGAATCTTGTAATCGTAGGTTTTACCACGTAGGCGGAAAGAAGCATCGTACATATCGATGTCGAAACGTCCTCTGCAAGTTCATGTTAGCGACGGATTCGCTTGGTAGATAACGGAGGTGAGCGTACCTGGGGGTAAGGTGCAGAATGTCCAAGAAGGTGGCGATAGTATCACCAGCAGTCTCGCCAATCTCGGCCTTCTCCATAAGGGTGTCATAGAATAGAGCGACAGCGTTCTTCTCTTCCTCGCCGGCATCACTAGCGCCGTCTTCGCCGTCGGCCTCCTTCTTGACAGTTCCAGGGATATAGAATCTCATCTCCACGAGCTGATCCTTGCCAGCACCAGCCTTCTTGCCCTTGCCGCGCGCACCGCCCAGGGCACCGTTGGTGCCGGTGTCATTCTTGTCCGTTGGGGCAGAGAATTCGACAGCGACTTCGTTGCGACCAGCCAAGTTGGTATTTGAGATCTCTGAATAAGGGATTTCGAAGGCGGGACGGTTCTGGACGTGGAATGCCAGCTCGGCCTTTCCGAAATCGGCCTTGCCCCAGTTCCAACCTCTGAGGGAGTGCTCCTTATTCTCGAGATTGGTGCTGTACCAGCTCTTGAAGATCTTGCTCAAGCGCTCGTAGTCCTGGTGAACACGAGTCAATATGGTGCCGCTCGTGGGGTCTGCTTGGGGGGTGTACTACCTCTTGTTGGAAGCCATCCAGTTGAATGATGCGCGAATCGCGGTTGAGGATCTTGATCTCGTAGCCCTTGGCAGCTCGGCTCCAATGCGCTGAGGCGATGTTGCTGTGGTCGAGGGTGAAGGTGTCGCCGCCACCAGCAGGCTTCCATCCGAGACCGCTCTCGGCGAATCTGCACTTGCCGCTCTCCTTGGAGAGGTCCAGGTAGATGCTGTCGAAACTCTCGCTAGAAGGAGCCATGCTGTTAGCTTGAAGAAAGCAGATTGAAGCAAGATGGGATGCGCGCGTTGAAATTGGAAATCTGTTTGCGCAAATTTGCGCGGGGAGAATGCGCTCGCTTGGAAGGACCCGGGTAGCCGCAGTATTGATGATTGAGACGGGGCGAGGAGCTGGCCTTGAACACTCACATGGCTGCCATGGTTGGGAAACCTCTCGAGCTAGAGGTGGCTGATTGTCGTCAAAGTAAGGTGGCAGAAACTGAGGCTGGAGCTTAAAGGCACGATGCTGAGTAGATAGACGACGTCCGGCGGGATCTGCAGAATGCCTGGGGTGGACGATGGGAGGAATGGTGGTGATGACGGGGTTTTAATCCGTAGGCAGGTTGTCTTGTCGGTGATAAAATTTCGGGGCGATTGGGCCTTCGCGTGGTGCACTTCTCCTGTCGCGCGAGGCTCTGGTGGCACGGCGACGCGACCTCTCTAAAGTGAGTGGGCCCTGTCCGCTCCTGCCACCCCCTGGTTGCCGACTTACTTAATACAGTGCAAGCACCTAGGTACCTTAGGTATTCGTAAGGTACGGATACCTTACTTAAGGTAGGTAGGCGTTAGTCAGCTGCTGGTGTGGTCCTCAGTCGGGAATAGCGCGGTGACGCAGTTACCCCAACTTTTTCCAACCTAAGCTGGCTGCCCTGGTTGGCTAGCAAAGCTGGAGACGCAGCTGGAGCTGGAGCTGGAGCTGGCGGGACGGCAGCTCGCACCGAGCATTTGCCAAGTGTGGGGTAATGGGAAGGGAGGGATAAGTCAGCCCACCCCATAACCGAACACACCCCATAACCGAACACTATTAAATAAAATTAAATAAAATATATAAGTTTTTTTAAATAGTCTAATTAAATAGAGAAAATTCTAATTAGTATAAAAAGCTTTTAATATAACTAAAATACTTAAAGATTACTAATTTATTTAAGTTTTTCTATTTTTAAATATTATATCTTTATTAAATAACTACTAAGTATATAAATATATAAAGTAATTTAATATTTTTCTAGATTTTTATTTATAATAATAAAGATATTATTTAAAGTTTATAATTATAAAATATTACTTTATAAAGATAGAATTTAAAAGTGGGGACTTTTAGAATTTAAAAATAATTATTTTTAAAACTTAAGTAAATAAAATAACTACTACTTAAGATTTCTAATTCTAAGTAGAAATTTTATAATTCTTATATTTTTCTTCAATTTTAAGGAAAATATTAATTAAACTTATATAATAAATAGATTTTATAGAATTAGAAGTAGAAATACTAGTATTTACTATATAGAGAGATTATAGAATTTATTTCTCTATAACTACTTATAAATATTATATTATTACTTAAAATATATACTATATATACTATAAACTATATAATATAATTTTTATATATAGATATATTAAGTACTTAATTTAATATATATATATCTATTTTGGTGGGATCATATATAAAACGCTGTTCGGTTATGGGGTGTGTTCGGTTATGGGGTGGGCTGACTTAGCACTAACCGGCCCTGAGCTTTCAGAACCTCGGGTTTGTCGTCTCAGACAGCCAGGAGCTTGGGGGTATTGCTCTGAGTACCTTAGTATGGACGCGAGACAGACTAATGTAGGCCAGCTGGTCCTCTCGCCCTCGTCGGGGAACTGGAGGTGTTTGAGCTCCTCCTCCTCTTCTCCTTTACCTCCTCCTCACTTGCTTAGACCTTAGAGCCGGCGCTTTCCAGACGGACACTTAGGACTCCAAATTTTGGATCATCGCGTGCTTCTGTTTTGTATCGCCATTGAATCCCGCTCATAACTCTACATTTGAGACCATCTCCACAGTCAATCGCACTCATCTCGTCGACGTCATAATGTCCAGCCCGCCGTCCCGTCTCAAGAACATCTTGGGTCACCTTGGTCTATCCTCACCTGCTCCAAAGCCCGAAGAGTCCAAGGCAGCCTTTCACATCCATCAACTTTCCCCAACCTATTTTCTGGAGCGTGCTGCCGCCATTGAACCCGACGCGGAGGCGATTGTCCATATCACTGCCAACAATAAGCTTTTGCGCCGCACCTACCGCGACTTTGCTGAGCGAGCAACCGGGCTTGCATACTATCTGAAGAAGCATGGCTTCCAGCGCGTTGGTATCCTGGCGCCGAACACACCGGCTTTTCTAGAGAGCATCTTCGGCATTGCCCTGGCTGGTGGTTAGTTCGTTCCGTGACCCGAAATGCAGTAGAGTATACGAAACTTACTTGCGAGAAATAGGGGTCAACGTCGCTGTGAACTACAGATTGAAGTCAGACGACATCACTTACATCTTCGATTATGCCGAGGTTGACTCAATCATCGTGGATCAAGAATTCCTCCATCTTCTTGACGAGTTCAAACAAAGTCACCCGTCCGTCCCATTCATTATCGACACCGACACCGATGCCATCGAGGGGGAATTGAGTGGCCCCTTTGACGAGGCCATCTTGGAGGGCCTTCAATTTGACCAGAAACAGGGCAACAAGAGGTTCGACGGCCTTCAATCTCACTGTGGCAACGATGACGACATGCTCGCCATTCCATTCACTTCAGGAACAACTTCTCGTCCAAAGGTGTGATTTCACGGATGTGCAAGACTGATACTTCAGAACTAACAACTGTTTTTAAAAAAATAATAGGGTGTTGTTTACACTCATCGAGGGGCTTGTAAGTCACAAAACTCTCATCACGTGTTCTGAACCAACTCCGAATGGCTGTTAACTGTACGCAGACCTCGCAGCCTTGGGAAATGTTATCGAATCGGGGTTGAACTCACCCGATGGGAGGCGTTGCAAGTATCTATGGACACTGCCACTCTTCCACGCCTGCGGATGGGTTTGTAAATCTACCTTTGACTTTTTGGTTTGGCATGCTAACCGACCTCGAAAGACCTTCCCCTGGGCGGTGACAATGGTCCGAGGAACACACTATACATTGAGAAAGATCGACTATCCTCTCATCTGGAAGCTCCTTAAAGAAGAAGAAATCAGTCACTTCAATGCTGCACCGTATGCGACCTCACATTCCACAAATTTCTGTGCATCCTAACGGCCTTCCAGTACGGTCAACACTCTTTTGTGCTCTGCTAAGGAGGCAGAGGAACTACCCAAAGCTTGTCGTGTGACTGTTGCCGCGAGTCCGCCGAGCGGTTACTTGTTTGAGCAGATGGTTCGTCCCGTATAAGACAAAGCGTTGTGGACTATGTTGACCTAGGCAGACCAACCTGAACCTGATACCAGTCCACGTCTACGGAATGACGGAGACGTACGGACCTATCACCAAAGGATACCACATGCCATCATGGGATAGCCTTCCCCCCAACGAAAAGTATGCCAAGATGGCCCGCCAAGGTCATGGCTTTTTGACGAGTCTGCCCATTCGTGTAATCAAGCAAGACCAACCGGAGGGTGTTCTGATCGACGTGGCGAAGGACGGAAAGGAAATCGGCGAGATCATCTTCAAAGGTAACATCTGTTGCAAGGAGTACTACAAGGATCCTGAGGCAACCAAGAAGCTCTTCGCCGGGGGTTTTTTGCACTCGGGAGATCTCGCAGTGATGCACGAGGATGGAGCCGCGCAGATCCTAGATCGTGCCAAGGACATCATCATCTCAGGTGAGCATGTTCGATTAAGAACTGTCTCCAAGTTATCCTACTGAGTCGTACTTAGGCGGTGAAAACATCTCATCTGTAGCCCTCGAGGGCATGCTCGTTCAGCATCCCGATCTTCTGGAGGCTGCCGTCGTCGCGATTCCTGACAGTCATTGGTGAGTGGAATATCTGGCACTGGCATCGCTGAATGGCACTGAAAAATCCAGGGGTGAACGTCCAAAGGCCTACGTGACAGTCAAGGAAGGCAAGAGCCTCCAGCCGGAAGACCTCATATCGTGGGCAAAGCACCAAAGCAACATTAGCAAGTTCATGGTCCCACGCGAAGTCGAGGTCGTGGACGAGCTGCCGAAAACCAGCACAGGAAAGCTGAAGAAGAATGTTCTGAGAGAATGGGCAAAACATGGGCGTAAGGAATGATGTAGCAGAGGGGAACGGCGGTATGCCATGGAAAACAGCTGGAGCTGTTGCTCGTTGGCTGTTCAAGTGGCACTTTTGCGTGCCAGAGTAATCCGTCAACGTATTGGAGACTATGACTATATGGATAGAGAAGATTCGAAAAACTTTCTTTGATTTAGCTAGATCGGGACTCGGTCAAACAAGACTTGTGAGCCAGTGGATTCAGATCAAGACCTGCATACAATGAAGCCGGGCCGTCCCGATTGGTGCTGGAGCAACCGTTTCCCTTCCTCCGTTCTTGGATGCCCTGTAACGCAGATGCTCTTAGATGGCACGAAGCCCCTGAAAGAAAACTGTGCAAGAAAGGCATAGTGTATAATGGCCGGGTCGTCATGCACAGCTTGACAAACCACGCTGCGGCAGGTACTGGGGCACCAGAGCCCCAGCACAGTCCCTTAGTAGCCAAGGAATACGCGGTGAGGCAAGCAAGTGAGAACAACGACGAAGGCATACAGGCCATTTCCCAAGGAAAGACAGGGAATGGCATGCACGGAGGTGGTCTGAACTGCGAGTACCTACGGAAAGTACAGCCCCATACCGATGAGATGGGCGGCCCTCCGGGACGCTCCTCCTCCACCACAATCTTGGGTAGTCCTAAGGGGGGAAGGCACTGTGCCTTCTACGCAGTAATGGGCTGACAGAGTGACGCATACTTTGGTAAGGCCACAAGCTGCGTAGTCTGCCCACGTAGAGCCAAAGCTTCGAAGCGAAGCCATGCCAAACTCAAGTCGCGAGACCATCAGAGTACAACAACCGACGCGCTATACACTTTTAGCGACGGCCAATATGGTACCACCTCGTGCATGGGGGCGTGACCCGACTTCGCAAGCCAGCATCCAGGCGAGAATGTCCACCAATGCCCGTGCCTGGATAGGTGAGACAGCCGAAGGTCCGGAGAGCCAACGGATGGCGCCACGCCATAAGGAGCACCCCTGAGGAGAAGACGAAGAAGAGACGAAGAACCTGATGGAACCGAGCCACTCAGCTGAAGAGGTCGCCCCGTACGGACAAGAGCTAATCCTCAAGACGGACACCCGACCGTTGCCAAGCTTGTCAGCTCTCTCGTAGCTGGACGCACGTACAACGACCCGATCTAGGGCAAGGTCTTCTGAATGTCACGGGAAAGACCCTTGGACAGTGTTTGGCCGACAGGAGACAACTTCATGAGACAACGATTCACTTGAACGCTGTCACGGCCAAGATGGCCGTGGGGTCACCACTTCTAGAACATGGTTTCGACTTCCGCCGGGTATCAACTCAGATACGATGCAGTCTATGAAGGCACAACAGAGGCTTCTTTCTCATCGGGATCGAGATATCATACTCTTGGCTGCATTCTCACCGACAAATGTAAATCAAGGCTTCCCCCTATCGCCGCTCAAAATACCCTCCACCTTCCACGTGCCCCTCTGGTCAGTCCCATGGAGTGCGAGGACATGACAACCAACACGAAAGTCCGATGGTCGCTTGCAAAAGCCCCATCTCCAGCATAGCGCCAAACCCAACTTGGGGGTTCTTCATATCTCGAGGACGCACAAAGGCGTCATCTTGTGGATTGATCGACGTGGGCGCCGGGGAAAAGGCTGTGGACGGTTTGTTGTCAGTCCACTGCCGTCTACCTTGGCACAAGCTGTCTGCCTAAGCGCCCCTGATACGAGCATTTGAGATCCAGGGCCACTCGAGTCAGACATATGCCGGTCGTTTCTCGACAAGACGGCCGATACCACCACTCAGAGAGGGCCAACGTTAAAAATTCTGTCCTTGATGAGGAGCGGCAGCTTCCCGGACGTGGTGAAACCGGAGTCAAGGTGAATGAGGGTGCTTTTGGCCGGTCAAGACGCGGACCACGCAGACACGACAGAAGACAGCTGCATTATGCAGGCCACAGTGGATAAAGGCTGCTTCTCCAACCGGGCAAGACTGGGCGTGCGCGCGGGTTACAGCTCAGGATTGGGCGAGAGAATCCATGTAAACGCACCGTGGTCCTTGGGGGGCCTTTCCGCGCCCCATATGCGTATTTTCGTCCAGCAACCGCGGATCCTTTCGAGCGGTCTGCGTCTGCGTCTGCGTCTGCGTCTTCCGAAGCCGAGCTCACATGGAAATTACCCTATCGACGGCTAGGTTATTTCGCGCGTCTGACCCTCATAAAGCCCACCTCGACCCCTCCTTGGGGGCAGAAGACGACTCTGCTGAGCTGTGTCAACGTCAATGATGCCTTGAATGTGAAAGCTGACAGAGTTAGGCGAGGAAGAGAGTGAGACAGACAGGACAGAACAGGACAGCGAGTTGCTAGACTTGCCCCACAGGTGAGTTGAATTGAAAGAAAGCAGCCGACTATGAGATAAGACAAGGAAAGACAACAGAGGGGGAAAAGACGAGCGGGATGGTCGAGGGAAGCTGGCCACTCGACTGACGGAAACGAGCTCGGTACGGGTAGTGGCTCGATGAAGAGGGACGGGCAGGGTGGAAAAGAATACTCATCACCCCGGGCAAGCCACAACCGGCTTGCTGTACAAATAGGAGACGAGGAAGATACTGACCAGGCGTGTAGATCGAGATCTTACATGAACGACAACGACGACGACGATAGGTCATTTATAAATTAGTCAACAACCCAACGGCAGCCCTAGCCAGACGAGGCAACGATAGAGAGGGAGAGAGAGATACAGAGAGAGAGACCGAGAGGCAACAACGTCCGGACCTCGTTCGGTGTGTCTTGCGTCCCCTGCGCCGCAGCAAAGATTTTTTTGGCGACAAGCCCTGGAGTGGAGTGACTCTGGCATAAAGGCAGGCCACCCCGATCCCCCCCGATTGCCGGCCTCCTTGGGCGCCGGGAATCATTCGCATCCCGCCGCCGCACGACGCCGAAAGTCTGTCTTGAGCGCACTACGACGAAGTCGGTTCACTTGAGCAGGTGTCGTAGTCGGCTGACTCTGTATTTCCTCTGGCACCGGGAAGCAGTGGTTCGCCTAGAGACCAAAGTCACTCCACGGCCACGGTATATTGGCGAACCCCGTGCCATTACGGACAGTCATCTCCCCAAATCGCCCCCTTCTCTGCGATCCCTGGCACGGCCGTCCCGCGGTATCTCTCCCGGGATTGTATAGCTGGCCAGACGCTCGTCTGGTGGCTTCTAGCGCCGGCCTGTGTCCACTGGGATCGCCTGGCCTCGCGCCTCGTCCCGAGTCCCCCAATCGTGGCTGGGTTTGCTTGACCTCGCCCGATCTTGGCTCCTCGTGAATCGGAGGCCCCTCTCTCGGCTCCGGCTTCGAGGGGAACAACGTCGAAGCTTCGAAAAAGCAAGAAAAACCTCTATAAATCTCCAAAGGCTTTGCGGCTGCTTTGGGGGCCGGGAGAGCGGGACTCGAAAGGGGGTTCTCCAAACAACCAGAACGCCTTTGCCAAACACCCCTCCCCCGGGGACAACGACGACATGGCTAACACGCCAACCGACAACAATCCCTTTTACGAGTATCTTGTGGACGACCCGGAGGTAAGTGAACAAAACAGCCCGGCTTATATCGCCATTTTTCGTCCGGTCCTTTCTCCTCGGACACCAGCCGCAAGGGGGGTCCGCTGCTCCTCTGATCAGGTCCTGCTTCAACTCGCCCGTTCATATCATACGTCTCTTCATATTCTGAACCCGCCAGATCTAGTGATGGAGGGTTACGCGACGTGGTCGACCAAGTGGCCGGAAGGAGTGCATGATACCACACACCGACGTTGAGCCAAGCTCCATCCCTTAGAGGGAAGGGGGGATGAATGACAAGTCAAACCATGATCGGAGACGGCGCATATCTCGCTACGTGTGGTTCCTGAGCTACTGAATTGTCGTGTTGGGGTGGTGGTGTGTGAGCGGACGGGAGGAGGCGATGGGTCAAGAGCTGAAAGTTCGGTTGTGTGTGTCCACCCCGGCCGGCATGGGGTGATGGCAAGGTGACGAAGTCAAAAAGCCCATTCAACGACCGATAAGTCGGAGCATGAGGCGAGAAAGCCAAAGAGGACCACGGCGCGAGAGATTTGCTTCTGGAAAGGAGGAAAGATGAGAGAGGGAAAAAAAGAGGACAAAGTCTGACCATATTTCTATCAGCAGATGATGGCTTCGACGCCGTTGTCCCCGCACTTTTCACCCAACGTGTTCGGAGGGGCCTTTGACGTCCGCGACCGCCCGCACCACGCCACCCGATCCGGGAATCAGGCCATGTCGAGTCCAGGCCACGACCGGCCCAATTCCATCAATGAATCAGCCGCCACGATCGCAATTTCAGTCCCAGGTGTTCCTGGACTAGTAGTGAATGCGCAGCAAAGTTCCAGTCTTCAGCAGCAGCAGCAGCAGCAACAACAACAGCAGCAGCTCCATCGTTCAGCCTTGGGGGGGTTGGGGGAGTTGGAGCTAACAGCAGCTAGAACTAGAGCTGTAGCTGGAGCTGGGTTAGCCGCTGCCGAGAACCAGGGTCACCACCAACATCACCAATTCGCCGCGCTGCATTCGCAGTTCGCTGATCACCAGGGCCCGCTCGCCCTGCTCCATGCACAGCAGCAAGGGCATCGACAGGCACCTGCCACATGGTTCCCGCCCGGGTATGGGGCTCCGTCGTACCGTGACAGCAGCAGCAGCAGCAGCCAGTACTACCAACAGCAGGCCGCTGCAACGGTCTCTTCCTCCTCCCCATCCTCCTCCACAGCCGTCTCCGTTGTAGCCAATCCGCCCATCAACATCACTGCAGCGGGCGGCCTGAGCAACAGCAACACCGGCGCGGGCGGAGGGCAGCTGTTCGACTTTGGCTTTGCTGCACCACATCCAGCTGAGCAGTCATTCCTTGGCGGAGACTATGCCGACATCACGCCACTTTCCACAGCGGCAGCAGCAGGAACAGCAGCAGCACTGACAGCCCATCCGCAACCGACTGCCACCTTCGATTTTCACTCCTCGCCATGGCGTCCGAGGCTTCAGGACAGCAGCTCCGTCACCCTGACTCCCAGCATCGCAGCTGTCGCCGCCGCCGAACTGAACCACGACATTCTCAAACACAGCAAGGGCAGCATGGAGGACGACAGCGACGTCAAGGAAACCTCGTGGGCCGACGGAGATGACGATGACGAGTATCGGAGGCGTGCAGGCGTGAGCAGCAGCACATCGCCTCGGCCTCGGAGGGAGCAACGTAAAGGCAAGCGCCGCGCCGTAGCCGATGCCGGTGGTGCTGATGGCGCCGAGGACGAAGACGAACCCACCAGCCCTGCGGGCCGGACCAGCGTCAGTGGCCGATCCAACAAGTCGGTTTCGGTGGCGTCGACGACGGGATCCAGCAGCAAGACGGCATCGGCCCCGCGCCTGCGCAGCGCCTCCCGCACATCCAAAAACGCATCCCAGAAGCCGGCCGAGACCGCCGAGGAACGTCGCACGCGCGCATCGCACAATCTCGTCGAGAAGCAGTACCGCAACCGACTGAACGCCCAGTTCGAAGGGCTGCTGAACGCATTGCCGGAGCAGGTGCGCGGGCCAGCCAGCACCGGAGACGGAGGAGGCGGCGGCGGCGGCGGCGGCGGCGGAGGCGGAGGCGGGGACGAATCGGATCCACAGCCGGCCGATCAGGAGCGGCGGGTCAGCAAGGCCGAAGTGCTGGACATGGCGCGTCGGCACATCAAGAGCCTCGAGCGGGAGCGGGACGAGCTGCAACGTGAGCGGGGGGATCTGCTGCGTAACTTGGAGATGATGGAGCGGGAGATGGCCGCCAACGGAGCCGGCCGGCTGGACGAATTTCTCGACGTCGAGGGGCCCCCAGGCGAGCGAGGAGGACCGTCTTGGAGGAACGCGTGAGGGTTGGGCAGGAATATCTCACCCCCTCTCCCTCTCTCATCCTGCAGATATGCACAGCTACAGCTACCCCTCGTTCGACGCGCTGTTGGTTTGGGTTGGTGTTGGCGTGTGTTCGCGTGGTCGTCGGGGTGCAGAAGAGGTGCAGAAGGAGGGAGCGCGTGAGCTCGAAAACTCGGAGGCAAGGGTGCCGGGGGAAAAGGTTTCGGAGCCCCTCCGACCGACCGATGACACGCCGCGCGGGACGCTAGGCCACAGCCATTGGCCGATCCAGTCCTGCTTTTTTGCAGCGCACTTCTCCGCCCCCCTCCTCTCCGTCTCAGATATCGGTAGGCGGAGTGTTGTTGTTCGCTGTGTTGCACGCACTTGTTGTTTTTTCTGCCCCCTCTCCCCTGCACGTTTCCCACGTTTTGCCCCAGTCTGTTTTGCTTGGTTACTTTTTGTTGTTGCCCCCTCTCGTTCTGCAACCCACCTCGAGTGTGTCATGTCTGGTTTTCTTTTTTGTTTTTTTTTTCCGCGGTCGAATCATGGCCAAAAAATTGTTTCATATTGAGAGCAAGTAGATAACCTTGGTTGGTGGAAACGGCTGTACACTTGAGAAAGAAGTGGTGGTGAAAGAGGAGGCAGACCGAGGCATTGAAGCCGAGAGCGAGGGGTGTGTGTGTGTGTGTGTGTGTGTGTGTGTGATTGTCAAGTTGGTGGTAGTGGTGGGGGGGAGACGCGATTTGTTGGGTTGATGCGGGATGGAATGGGTGCAACGAATGCATGTTTCCCATGCATGTTATGTACGTAGCGATAGACTAGGAAGGTATGGCAGGAGGGAAAGACGAGGCGGAGGAGGAGGGCGAACGAGGGTCTGGCCATCTGCCGTGACGATGTAGCTTTGGCAGCGGTAGTTTGGAACTGATTGAGCATTGTAACTACCAACACCACCACCACCACAAGATTAATTATGTAGCCCTTTGGCATGTATGTCACTGCCGAGCGTCACGTCTTGCAATCTCAGTGCCGTCGATGGCGTCCCGTAATGCGGAGAGCCCTTTTGAATTTCACGACCCTTGGCAGATGTTGTACGGACAGTGCGAGCGGTGATGAGTGGGGGCATTCACGAATGATCTGGAAAGGGGCAAAGGGGCAGAAGGCTTTGGACGGCAAGTCTTGAATGATGCTGTTTTCTTTTTTGAACCGGCGCGTCAATATGCGTCCGTACGCGTTAAAATAGACAAAAATTGGTGCCACGCCTTTTCCCATGGCAAACATACGATTCCCCCCCGTCCATCCATCCCGTCCTTCCGCCTTCCTGTAATCCCCTCACTCCCTTTCCGCCCTTCGTCCTCGTCCCGCCCGTCTTCTCTGGCAGTTGTGCACTGCATGTGTCCCTTTTTACAAAGTTTTTCTTTTTGCCCCAAAGGTCATAATCCATCAAGTCGTGTCCAGCGGTGCCGCCTTTTGCCACGGCCCCCCGCCTTTTTTTTTTAATACAAAATAACAATAAGCGGTAGTGATGTGTGTGTCGGGGATGGGTGGTGGTAATAATAATAATAACCCTGGACAGTTGTGTCTCTCTGTCCCTGCGCGCGTCCAAGAGACGCACGCCGCGCCAAATGCCATAATATATAGGCCATAAATAACCGAGGAAGAGAAAAAAAAAGAGGTGGTGACAGACGGACTAAGAAAAAGAGCGAGAGTGGTTGCTGATTGTTGCCAGCAGGGCAGGTTGCTTTTTGGTGAGGTCCATGTTTCGATGATGGATCGACGCTTGGTCTATGCGAGAGAGAAAAAGAGAGAAAAATGAAGTTTCCTTGGTACACCCCTTCCGGTATATGCCAACAAAGTCTATGGTGAATCACGGCATTGGTCAAAACAAAAAGGCGCCGAAATATGTCGAGAAAGAGGAGGAATAAAAAGCAGGTGATGTGCGCCGCCCGTTTGTGACCCAAAACCGTGTCGCTTCGCCGAGTATGATGTGTGTATGTGTATGTGTGTAGGAGAGGTGTCAAGAAAATGGGTGTGGTGTGTGAGCTTTAGATCCGGCTGCCGGAGTAAACTGGCGGGAAAAGTGCGTACTGCCCGGGAGGTGGCGGGGTGCTCAAGCTGGTGGTGCGGGCACGTTGGCGCCGGTGCTGCTTGACGGCCTCCTTCGCAGACATGGCCTGGCTGCCCTCCGAGACTGCGCGCATGTCACCGGTAGAGTGAGACGTTGTGAGTACCTCCTCGGTCTCGGGCAACGGCGTCATGGTCGACTTGCGTGTCTTGGGCGACTCCAGACTGGGGAGGTCGTCGACGCTGACCGAGCGAGAGTGGTCGATGCCTTCGGCCTTGGGGTTCCATCCCTCAAACGTTGTGCTCCCGGTGTATCTTGTCAGAGCAGTCCAGGTCGAGTTCGTCGAGGTGTGTCGGGCTTCCGTCAAGCTCGTCTGACCCGACGAGTTGCTGCCGGTGGTGGAAGTGCTGGCCCGGTCTCTAGCAAACAAGCCTGGAGTTTCGAGCGTCATCGCGGGCTCGCCATCGAACGAGAAGTGACTGTGGTGTTGCCTGTATTCCGCCTCCGTCTCCGCCATCATCTGCTGGCGAAAGTCGCTGGGAATCAGGAGGGATGGCGACAGGTGGAAACCGTGAGACTCCTTGAAGCTCGAGGCATGAGACGCAGTTCTGACGTGCAAGTGAGACTGGCCGCGGTAGTTCGTTTCCATCCTGGGGTGAGAGAAGTTGGACCGCACTGGTAAAGCCGGAATCGTCGGCGTGATAGCCTCGTGGCCGTTTGCCGTAGAAGTAGGGCTTGACGGGCTGAGTGCCGGGATGTCCAACTGTGTCGTTGATGCCGGCTTCAAACCAGCTGACAGCGGCGCCACAAACACGTCTTCATTGAGAGGGGTCTGAACAACTTCCTCCCGGACCACGTCCAAGGATGGCCGATCCCAGGCGTAGTCGCAATCGGCCTCGGCCTCATGCTCGTAACAGTAGTCGATATCGTCCTCCCAACTGGCTCGATGGAGAGCATCGAGATCCTCATCCTCCTCCATGACCTCCTTCAAAGCATCCTGTACGCCGAACATGTCGAAGCCGCCCAAAGTGTCCGATGCACCGCTTGGCGGTCGTTGGGAGTCGTCACATTGGGTTTGTGCGAGTTGACGCAGAACAGGCACAGACTGGCTTCCTCTCAGCGACGAGTTGGTGCTGAATAGGCTGGCGCGGGATCTTCGGCCAGAAGCATGAGCCTCCTCCTCCTCCGGGACGTCAGGCAAAGCCATCTCGTATGAAAAGTTTGAACTAGCGGTTAGGGGCCACGCAGCATCATCGGGTGTGGTGATAGCGTGTGAGAATCGCGGATCCACATACGCTTCCCCATCAACAATGCCGTGAGGGAAATATCCATGAGCGGTTGCTGGGGGCTCGGCCAGGTCGATGGGAGCCTGAAGGCTGGATGATTGGAGGCTGCCACTGGTTGATGGTCGCTCTTGGGGATCAACATCTTCCATGGCATTCAGAATGTCATGTTTGACTCCGATACGGCTTGAATGCCTTGGCGGGGGGACAGGGGGTGCTGGCATGTCAGACAGGATGAACTCCTCATCGATGGGCGACCTGGGAGGACGTGGCGGCGCTGGACGAGGTGGGCTAGTGCGGAGTTGTTCCTGAGATCGGGTATGCTTGATCATCTTCCGGGGCGCTGAGGTTGGTCCTGCTTGCCGGGGAATGACTGGTGGGCGGTTGAGGAAGAGCTCTGCATGAGTCTCGCCCGCAAGAGCGTCGTCCTGGGGCATGTTCAATGTCTCGGATGAAAAGTTGGCAAAGTGCAAGTCTTCGACGTCGATTCCTTTCAAAGTACCGGTAGTCGGGCGTTGGCCAGCACGGATGGCCGAGAATTCGGAGACCATCTCGGCACGGCTGCCCCGTTGAAGGTCCGGGAGATGGTCACGGTTGGTGTGGGTGACATGTTGAAAATTGTAAGGGCCTGAAATCTGCAGCTTCTTGCCCAGAGCCGGGTCTTCTGCTATTTGATCTTGTCTTAGAGTCTGTCGACGACCGAAGATGGACGGGATGAGGTGATTCTTGTTTGCCGAGGGCGGACCATCCAGGACGAGCTCACCAGAATACAAAGAACTTCCAGAGGAGTTGCTGCTGCTTTCGCGCTTCATCTTGGCTCTGCGGTTGAAGATCGTCTTGCCAAAGAGCTGAACGCTCTCGGGTCTGTCTCGGGATGGCATGCTGCTCGAAGTGGACCGGCCAGAAGACTTTCTAGACAAAGTGATGGTTTCCAAGGTGTGTTCCCAAGAGGGACGGCGTTCCGAGGTAATTGAGCGCAGCGAGGACGACGAGCCGGAGGACGTGGTGGCGTTGCTCTTGTGCTTGTCCAAGGCTGAGGTCCTCTTCATCTGCTTGCTCAAGGCACGAATCCTCTCCGGCGATGGCGGTCCATCAAGAGCGGGTTCAAAGAAATCTGGCGGAATGTTGTGGGAGTTGTGTTGAGCAGAAAGAGGAGGGAGGGGAACTTGGTTGTCGACGGAGGTTGGCAATGGCGCATCTTTGTTACTGACGCTTCCTCTGTCTTTCCTCCGGGTAGGCTTGTAAGCCGAGTAATACGGCAGTGGAGCGGTAGCCCACATCTTGTTTTCGTCTCAATGCAGAGGGCGACGTCAAGCTAGGCGTGCCCCCTCTCAAGGGATCCCCTTCTTCTCCAGCGTGTTCTGAACAAGCCCAAGCAAGTCGAGGCCCGTTCCCTGATGATAGTTCCTGGTGCTTCCTGGTGTTTACTTCTTTTTTATATGGGCCGGGGATATAAATCTCGCGTGTTTGGTTCCCGTGTGAGCGAGGTTGCTGTGTGTTATAAGGTGTGTGTAAGAGGAGTCGGATGCGGGCGGGCGTGGTATTGGGAGTGAGTGCGAGAGCGAACGTGCGTGCGCTGAGAAGGAAAAGTTTGAGAGAGTGAAGCGCGCGCAACATCAACCAGCAACCAGCATCAGTCGTCCGGCTTCCTTTTGTTCGGCCTAAGAGAGCGACGGATGACAGAAAACCACCCAAACTGTGGGGGATGCGCCTGGGACTGGTAATATATTTAAGATGGTGCTGTTTTCAATGCGTAGGAGCCGGGGGTTGGGATCCGAACATTGGGATCCGTCAACCTGTGATTTCTTTGGCGAGGAACCAGACGAGACCCAAAGCCAGAGAGGCCAGAGGGCAAGCAGCAAGAGAATGAGCGAGAGAGGCACACACTGGGAGCCGGGGGAGGGATGTCAGCGCCCCGTTACCACCCTGCCCTGTACTTGCAGAGCCTAGTCCCAGAATGCAACGCCGCAGCAAACCCCCGTCCGTCCCCTCTTCAAGGATATTCGACAAGGATGTGAACAGGGGATGGAGGGATCTGGCTGCGAGAGGTGCTGCTAGGGTGTGGTGTGTGTGGTTGTCCAGGGTGCCTTGTTATGAGCATTGAGGGGGCTTGTCGTTCGATGTGCGTGTGGATTGGGAGACGGGGCGCCGTGTCTCTCTCTCTTATCCTCTCTCTCTCACACCCACCCATGAAGCTAGCAAAGCAAGAAGCACTCGCACCAATCTCCGTACCGATTGTGCAGTAGTCAAGCAAGCAAGATGCAAGCAGTCGCAGTATTAGTTGCGGCAGCAGCATCTCCAGCCAATACCGCCGTCTGCTGGAGCAATAGCTACGGCACGAGGTTGACAACGGAATGCCGGACGCAGCGCGGTGATACTGGCTGAACCGTCCGTCGAGGACCTGGGGGATGCTGGGCAAGAAGGAAAGGCAAAAAAAAAACAAAAAAAAAAAAAAAAAAAAAAAGAGGGACATGATTATCCCTCCTCATGGGATGTTGCAGCTTGCACCCTGCAGAGTGGTCAATACATCCAGTACTGCGTAGTTGTGGTTGGCGCCGCATCCTGTCGCGTGCGCGGGTCAAATGGATGAATGTGTAAATGGGTTGGTAATGGCAATATCGGCCCCAACACGGCATAGTTGTTGCACTTCGGCAACCCTGAACCAACCCATCGAGATGCGCGCGCTCGTTGGTATCTTTAGAAGCTCATCTACTATGTAGACGGACGGCGAGCTTTCCGGCCAGGGTTGGAAGATATACATAGAGTCATAGAGAACACTAAGTAATAGAACGGACGGACTACAGAGGCAATGAGGTTCCGCCAGCATGGTTAGCTAATATCCCGGTGCGGGCTGTCTCTCTGCTGAATGTGGAGGTGTAATAACATGGGCGAAGCCTTATGGTCGAATGGATGGATCAAGCCTGGTCCCGAATGGACGACACGGCCAGATGAGAGCTGGAACTCAGCGTGAAGAGCGAAATGAGATTTGACGCACTTGACCATTTGCATACGCGAAGTGTGTGCTGCGAAATGGCTTCAAATTTGGGCGTGTCGGGACAGATCCCAACACAAAACCCATCATGCACTGTGCGCCACGCTCGCTCGTGTCGATTCGATGGCGCCGATTTGCCGTGTCGGCGTTAGCCGCTAATGTCGTGTATTGGAGCTCGTCTGTACTCACAGCCTGCCGCCGAGGTGTCGGTAATACAATTAGCATCGCTCACCCTCTGCTCTGTCTGCTCTGCTTGGCTTGTACCTTCGTCTCTCTGCCTTACCTAAACAGAAGCCCGAGGGGCTGAGAGGTCGATCGATGATGGATGGAGTCAAAAGAGTGGACGACCCAGACGATTGACGAGAGTTTCTAATTGCAGCGCGCCCTGATGCTGGCCTGACAGTCGCGGTCCACCGCGCGGACGGCATCCAGACCAAACATCCAGGCCTTCTCGTATGGAGGGGATCGACCACCATTCGTATCGTCGCTGTTGTCGTGTTCAACATGACGCGGTCGTTTTGCTTCTTGCTGCTGGCTCGGCTTCTCTCTTTTTTCTTTCTTCAACATCGGACCTGTGGCATCTTCCGCCAGCAGGAACTTGTGTGCCTAGCCCCTGAAAGCTGAAGCTAGCGGGTGATGGCAGATTGTCTTACAATTGACGTCGCTGCCAGGTGGCAGTTACAAGGAGGCGGTAATTCTGGAAAAGCAAAGTTGACACGAAAATGGCTGGAGACTCGGAAACCAGGGCCAAGGAGGCCGCTCTCGTATGCGGTGATACCAATATCTCTCTACAAGGCCTTCAAAGAAAGGAAATGCCGAGTCCGTGTGCCTGGACACGCCTTGGTCGACTGTCTGCGCCTGTTGGAGACAGACAAACAGGGTAGCCCTAGGCTCACCGGCTGGGAGCTATAGTCTGCTTGATGTTGGTTGCACAAGCTGCTCGCATGTTTGTGGTGAGATGGTGGGAATGATGGCCAATTTTGGCCAGCAGACTTTGGCCATTCTTTGATTCGTGTTTGTGACTTCAAGTCTTGCAGGTTGCAAACATGCAAACTGGATGCGCCATGGATGCAGGCACTCCTGATGGTAGCAAGTCACCACGCAAGCAGGTCCTCCAATTTGTCAGGAACTGTTCGTGCTCAGTCAGGACATGACGAAAACTCTGAGCAGAATCGTCCGAACACTGCCAAACAACTCGAGTGACCCGCTGGGATGGTCGAATAAGGTTCCTGAGTCGGGATCCGCGTGCTGCCCAGAGCTTCAATTGAATTGACTTGCCGTTTCAACCCTTGTACATTTCATGGTTCTGACACTCCCGTCAGTGCCTTTCCGCTCTACTCAATGTATCCCCAACAATCAACCCTCTTCATCTGAAGTTTTGACACCCGATATGACTTTAATGCTTGGACCAACCGTTTCTGCCGTCGATTGAGGTAGATCTCGTGGTGCTAAACGGCGCACGTGATAGACGCTTTACCTGTCCAGATGATAAATGCGAGACGCATCGTCGGCAAGCATGCTAAAGCCGATGGACCTGAGTGATGCTGCTGGGCCTGGCAAGATTGCCGAGGATCTCAGCCAACCAAGTGAGCTGCTAACGAATGGTGTAGGGCGCGGCGGTTGTTGTGCGTGGCGGCGGGCCAGACTCGGGTTCGTATAAATGCAGATATGATGTGAGAGATGCATGCAACAGTTCCACAGAGGACCAGTCAGCGATGTCATTTCGCAGAGTCAAAGCCCCAAATATCGTCATGTCCCCTAATCAGTTAGTTTTCGGAGCTCGCGATGGCTCATCTGTTTGGCTTGTTTGACGATTCCCAAAGAGTACTGAACGAGGCCAGATCCAGATTTGTGACAGATCATGATCGACAACCTCCCAGAGGGCTGTGACCCCAGCTGGAAAGCTTTTCCCAGTGCCAGGAACACTGAAGAGGCGGGCAGGGTTGGTTCTCTAGCGTGGGCTCGAGGGACAGGGACCACGCAACTGTGGGCTTAGCAGGTTGCCGGCCGTATGGTATTGCTTCTTTGGACGCAAAAGAAGCTGTCCTTGGTGGCTGTTGCGAGGCGCCGAAAGCTACCGCTGCCGCTGCCGCTGCCGCGCATCGTCATCCGGCATCCGCCAGGGCAGGCGGGCGACGGAGCGACTGATGTTTTACGGCCACATGCAGAGAGAACATCCGCCGGTGCCTCTGGAAGCGAAGCGGTCAAGGCCTTGACGGAGCCAGCCCCCCGGCAGGGAGAGTCAATGCCGTACAACGCAGTGTCTCAAGTTCGAGACCTGCGGACTACGGTGCGGTTCGGTGCGGTGCTGCGATGCGGCGGGCGGTGACCTGGCCGTTACCGTTAAGCGTGCGGAAGTAAGTGTAACGGGGGCTTCTGAGACAACCCAATTATCCGGCCTAGGTTGAGACAATGGCCGTTCGCACCGCAGCACGTTCAGCAACGGCGACGGTGAGGGTGACGGTGGGCGCTAATGGGGGATGCCATGTTCCGCGTAGGTGCCCGGAAAGCCGATACCCTAGCTCCAGATCCACGATTGATTGGCAATGCAAGGCGCAGGAGGGCAAACTCGACTCACGAGCCCGCTTTCACCGTCTGCCCTGTCGATATTTGTCGGTCGTTCGGTTCTGGAATTCCCCGTGAGACCCTGCTCTTGCCAGGAGTTCAAACGCCGCCGCCAGCCAAGCCAGGAGGCCGATGCTGGGCTGTCCATCCACAGTTTACTTAGTCGAGGTACAATCAGTCCACAGTCCAGCACGACCACACACTGCCCACGAAATTTGGAACAGGCCCAAGAACGGCCCCAGCCTGGGGCTTGTCAAACAACCAGCCACGTTTGGCCCGTGGGGGACCGGAGGTACTGGGCTGGTTGGTGGTGGGATCGAGAGCGGGAGCAATACCCAGATAGCGATAGCGATAGCAGCAGCCTAGGTATGGTGTCTTATCACGAGGGTGTTGTACTCCGCGCAGGCTCCATCGGCCTAGATAGTAAGGTGAATATCGTTTGGTCTTTTTGTCGATAGCGACATATGTGATTCAAGATGGGCAGCGGCCCATGACGGCAGTGGGGTGTTTGACTGAACCTGGTATCCTGCCTGCACCCGGAGAGGGAAGATGTGCAGAGGCCGACAGGAGACAGAAGAACATCAGCACAAGGCGGTTTGGTGAGTTGACAGTCGCATGGTTATGCCGTATTCTTGGCGAGGGTTGGTTGAGCTGGGTCAAATGGCGACTTCATCCCGAGATGCTGTGCAGTTGGAAAGTACGCACAAATCCAGCAACCCGGAC